CATGCTGGATGTGTGGAGTAGAGTGTGAGATTTTCATCATCTTATCACAGTGAGTTGATTTCACTTCCGAAGACTGTTCCTGCTACACCCATATCTCCAGCTTGTGGAAATTCCTGCGACAGCGGTCCTGTGACTTACAAGCCTGGCAGGAAAAGTGACAAGGATGTTATAAACATCATGTAGACATATTTTCCAATTGTTTTGTTGCCAAATGCAAAGTAAAAAAAAAAAAAATATATATATATATACACACAGAGAAGGAAATTATTACTTGATCCCCTGCTGATTTTGAATGTTTTTGCCCTCTAAAAATCGAATGTTCGGTGTATTGTAACACTGAGAGACAGAATAGCAACAAAAAATTCAGCAGAAATGAATGTCTAACAAATGATGACTGATCTGCATGTTCATGAGGGAAATAAATATTTGATCCCCTTCACAAAACATGACTTAGTACTTGGTGGCCAATCCCTTGTTGGCAATCACAGAGGTCAGACGTTTCCTGTAGTTGGCCACCAGGTTCGCACACATCTCAGGAGGGATTTTGGCCCACTCCTCTTGGCAGATCCTCTCCAGGTCATTAAGGTTTGGTGGCTGACGTTTGGCAACTCGAACTTTCAGCTCCCTCCACAGATTTTCAATTGGATTAAAGTCTGGAGACTGGCTAGGCCACTCCAGGACCTCAATGTGCTTCTTCTTGAGCCTCTCCTTTGTTGCCTTGGCCGTGTGTTTTGGGTCGTTGTCATGCTGGAACATCCATCCACGACCCATTTTCAATGCCCTGGCTGAGGGAAGAAGGTTCTCACCCAAGATTTGACGGTTCATTGCCCTGTCGATGGTCCCTTTGATGCGGTGCAGTTGTCCTGTCCCCTTAGCAGAAAAACACCCCCAAAGCAGAATGTTTCCACCACCATGTTTTACAGTTGGGATGGTGCTTACAGGATTTCAGTTCTTTCAATAATGGAGGTTCAACATCACATGTGGGCGTTACCTATGCAAATACAGCCTGCCTAGGAACACCCACTCCTCCAGGCTGACATCCATCTATCAGGACATTATTATTATTTATTTATTTCAGGTACTTGTATAGCGCCGTCAATTTACACAGCGCTTTACTTATATATTGTACATTCACATCAGTCCCTAACCCTCAAGGGGTGTACAATCTAAGGTCCCTAACTCACATTCATACATACACATACTAGGGACAATTTAGACAGGAGCCAATTCACCTACCAGCATGTCTTTGGAGTGTGGGAGGAAACCAGAGTAGCGTGAGGAAACCCACGCAGGCACAGGAGGAGAACATGCAAACTCCAGGCAGGTGTTGCCATAGTTGGGATCTGAACCAACGACCCGAGAACTGCCAGGTGGAAGTGCTAACCATTTAGCCACTGTGCTTATTATTAGACAGGATTTATATAGCGCCAATAGTTTGTACATCGCTTGACATTATGAAGGCGGGCGTTATGAAGGCGGACGTTATGAAGGCGGGCGTTATGTAGGCGGGCGTTATGAAGGCGGGCGTTATGAAGGCGGGCGTTATGAAGGCGGGCGTTATGAAGGCGGACGTTATGAAGGCGGGCGTTATGAAGGCGGACGTTATGAAGGCGGGCGTTATGAAGGCGGGGCGTTATGAAGGCGGACGTTATGAAGGCGGACGTTATGAAGGCGGGCGTTATGAAGGCGGGCGTTATGAAGGCGGACGTTATGAAGGCGGACGTTATGAAGGCGGGCGTTATGAAGGCGGACGTTATGAAGGCGGGCGTTATGAAGGCGGACGTTATGAAGGCGGACGTTATGAAGGCGGGCGTTATGAAGGCGGACGTTATGAAGGCGGGCGTTATGAAGTCGGGCGTTATGAAGGCGGGCATGATGAAGGCGGGCGTTATGAAGGCGGGCGTTATGAAGGCGGGCGTTATGAAGGCAGACATTGTGAAGGCAGACATTACAGTTCCAATATAATTTGGTACGGGAGGAAACAGAGGGCCCGGTCGTTAGAGCTTACAATCTAAGAATTTTGATATTTGCATATCTTCTCCCAAAAGCCAGCCCACCGCTTGCATCAGGACAGGGGGTTCTTGAGAGGAGTACTGAGGCAGGGTGCTGTGATGTTTCCAAGAAGCTATGTACCACTGGCCCCTCCAGTCATGATCTACGTGCACTGCATAGAGAAGCACAAAGACCCAGTGATCAGGGGAGCTAAAACAAGTTATGCAATGAAAATGGAAATGTTTTGTTTATTGGTTTTTTTTTTCGGTTCGCTTATAGTGGTAGGGAGGCAGAAACCAGGGAGGGCACAATATACACAAATTAAACTCAGGCTTTCACTTAGACATGGTTTCGCTTACATTTTTTTTAGAACACAAGGGGAATATACTTCATGGAGATACATGATCTCGGAGGTTACCTTTTCCTGCGCCAAAGTCAATCCAGCTATAAATAGATGAAGCCTCAATTAGTGAGCTTATAAACTGTCTTGTTGGCCCCGCCCACAGAAAATCGTACAATCAGATTCAGAATCAACCATGACATCAGTGATGATGAAACTGACGACAAGCCAAATCGCATCGGTAGATTTAACCGCACGTGGCATACAGCGCCATCCACAGGGATCCATCAGGTTATTATTAACAGAGGATTAAAAAAAAAAGATAAAAGAATTTTATTGAAAGTGTTACTAAAACCCACAACAGTACATTCAGTCTGTATTTGCAGTAAGGCATGCTCATTATACTCACTGTGGAAACAAAGGGGTTAATCCTCTGCATTGTGTAAAAAGGCTGTTTGATCCTGATTTCTCTCTGATCCTCCTCTTGTTCAAATGTCCACCTGATAAGACAGACTGAGCCTGTAGCCACATGCACATGCTCAGTTTGGTGTGTATTGCTAGAGAGGGATTTTCTTGGGAGAGTGCATGTGATCAGCACAGGACCAATCAGCACTGTCCAGACAGAGGTCAGGGGTTCTGCATCCTCCTAGAGCAGAAAGAAAACTCCTACAAGCTTTAACCAGTGCTCTGCTGGACACTGATAGAAGTCACAAGGTATTTAGCAGCTTATATTTACTCAAATAATTGCATTTACATGTTGCGTGTACTGTGGGAGACCAGATATTATGAATGCAGGGTCCGGGGAGACCAGATATAGTGAATGCAGGGTCCAGGGAGACCAGATATTATGAATGCAGGGTCCGGGGAGACCAGAAATAGTAAATACAGGGTCCTAGGAGACCAGATATAGTGAATGCAGGGTAGAGGAAGACCGGATATAGTGAATGCGGGGTCTGGGGAGACCAGATATAGTGAATGCAAGGTCTGGGGAGACCGAATATATTGAATGCAGGGTCCTGGGAGACCAGATATATTGAATGCAGGGTTCAGGGAGACCAGATATCGTGAATGCGTGGTCCGGGGAGACCAGATATAGTGAATGCGGGGTCCGGGGAGACCAGATATAGTGAATGCAGGGTCTGGGGAGACCGAATATATCGTGAATGCGGTGTCCGGGGAGACCAGATATAGTGAATGCAGGGTCTGGGGAGACCGAATATAGTGAATGCAGGGTCCTGGGAGACCAGATATAGTGAATGCAGGGTCCTGGGAGACCAGATATATTGAATGCAGGGTTCAGGGAGACCAGATATAGTGAATGCAGGGTCTGGGGAGACCAGATATAGTGAATGCAGGGTCCGGGGAGACCGAATATAGTGAATGCAGGGTCCTGGGAGACCAGATATATTGAATGCAGGGTTCAGGGAGACCAGATATCGTGAATGCGGGGTTCGGGGAGACCGGATATAGTGAATGCAGGGTACGGGGAGACTAGATATAGTGATCGCAGGGTCTGGGGAGACCAGATATAGTGAATGCAGGGTCCGGTGAGAGTGGATATAGTGAATGCAGGGTTCGGGGAGACCGGATATAGTGAATGCGGGGTCCGGGGAGAGCGGATATAGTGAATGCAGGGTCCAGGGAGACCGGATATAGTGAATGCAGGGTCCGGGGAGAGAGTGGATATAGTGAATGCAGGGTTCGGGGAGACCGGATATAGTGAATGCGGGGTCCGGGGAGAGCGGATATAGTGAATGCAGGGTCCAGGGAGACCGGATATAGTGAATGCAGGGTCCAGGGAGACCGAATATAGTGAATGCAGGGTCCAGAGAGAGCGGATATAGTGAATGCAGGGTCCGGGGAGACCGAATAGAGTGAATGCAGGGTCCGGGGAGACTGGATATAGTGAATGCAGGGTCCAGGGAGACCGGATAGAGTGAATGCAGGGTCTGGGGAGAGCGGATATAGTGAATGCAGGGTCTGGAGAGACCAGATAGAGTGAATGCAGGGTCCGGGGAGACCGGATAGAGTGAATGCAGGGTCCGGGGAGACTGGATATAGTGAATGCAGTGTCCGGGGAGAGCGGATATAGTGAATGCAGGGTCCGGGGAGAGCGGATATAGTGAATGCAGGGTCCGGGGAGACCGGATATAGTGAATGCAGGGTCCGGGGAGAGCGGATATAGTGAATGCAGGGTCCGGGGAGACCGGATATAGTGAATGCAGGGTCCGGGGAGACCAGATAAAGTACAAACAAGCAAGAAACTCAATGTGAGAACAATCAGCGCAAAGTGCTACCACCCCGCTATTAAGAATTGTGAAAGAGTCCAATGTAGGGCTACAAAGTCCATATAGCACTTGGGCAAGCCTCATATAGTAGCAGCAGAACTCTGTATAGAATAGAGAAGAGAAGAAGCTCCTCTAAGTGCCGTATAAGTAACTTTAATGGATAATAAATGTAGAACAACTCACATTTTTGCATGATAAAAGCAAGCTCAAAAAGATGGGGAGGACGGCTGTGTCCATGCTGTGTCAGCCGCGTCCGTGGATGTAGGAAAGAGCCGGCCGCCATGTGTAGTCTTCTAAAGATGGCGTCTGGCACGCACAATAAGGCGCGACGTCGGTGTCAGCGTGATGACGTGTGTAGACCTGCATGCATAACTTTATCTTTACAATTGTGGCTGTCTGTTGGGGGTAATAGAGGGAGGCCCCAATTCCCATAAACCCCCAGAGGATATGTTATTTTCTTTATTCTTGAACCTCTTGCAATAACTAAGCCAACAATTCCAGCAAGTCCAATCAGACCCAGTCTGGGATAGAATCCAAGTGGTGCATCTCTTAGATATTTGTAGGTCAGTTTTGAATGCTACTGCAGTTTCCACCTTAGGTTTGGTCTTTGTGAATACATCCTGACACCAGCTAGTATATGGCACTGCAGACTGTCTGACCCATGAAATTCCCTCTTTTAGTTCAGTCTGCTTATCTTCAACAAATCTGGCTTCTTGCCCTGGGCTGGAATTCAGAGAAAGCGTTTCAACTTTTAGGACAGTTTTGTAAGAACTCTTTGTTTCACCCTCTGCATGCAAACAAAAAAGACACAAAACCCAGACTTGTGGGGAAAGCTAATAATTTCACTGTCTTGAACATGACAAGGGAGGTGAGACCGAGCTCAAGACCAGATATAGTGAATGCAGGGTCCGGGGAGACCAGATATAGTGAATGTAGGGGGCGGTGAATGTAGAGAGCGGATATAGTGAATGGAGGGTCTGGGGAGAGCGGATATAGTGAATGTAGGGGGCGGTGAGAGCGGATATAGTGAATGTAGGGGCGGTGAGAGCGGATATAGTGAATGCAGGGTCCGGGGAGAGCGGATATAGTGAATGCAGGGTCCGGGGAGAGCGGATATAGTGAATGCAGGGTCCTGGGAGAGCGGATATAGTGAATGCAGGGTCCGGGGAGAGCGGATATAGTGAATGCAGGGGCCAGGGTTATAGTGAATGTAGGGTCTGTGAGAAGCGGATATAGACCAGATATAGTGAATGCGGGGGGTCCAGGGAGACCGGATATAGTGAATACAGGGTCCATGGAGACCGAATATAGTGAATGCAGGGTCCTTGGAGACCAGATATAGTGAATGCAGGGTCCGGGGAGACCAGATATAGTGAATGTAGGGGGCGGTGAGAGCGGATATAGTGAATGGAGGGTCTGGGGAGAGCGGGTATAGTGAATGCGGGGTCCGGGGAGAGCGGATATAGTGAATGCGGGGTCCAGGGAGACTGGATATAGTGAATGCAGGGTCCGGGGAGACCAAATATAGTGAATGCAGGGTCCAGGGAGACCAGATATAGTGAATGGAGGGTCCGGGGAGACCCGATATAGTGAATGGAGGGTCCGGGGAGACCGGATATAGTGAATGCAGGGTCCGGGGAGACCGGATATAGTGAATGCGGGGTCCGGGGAGACCGGATATATAGTGAATGCAGGGTCCATGGAGACCGAATATAGTGAATGCAGGGTCCATGGAGACCAAATATAGTGAATGCAGGGTCCAGGGAGAGAGCATATAGTGAATGCAGTGAGGGAGATGATATAGTGAATGTGTGAGATGGGGAAACAGCTTAGTTAGGGTCTCTGTGTCAGGCCACAAGTGTTATTACTGATCATTGGAAGGACTCCACAACTTAAAGTGACATTTCACATCGGAGAGCTGATAAAATCCTACAAACTCAAGGCAGACTGGTGTTTTGCTCAGAAGGAATACTCAGGCACGTGCTACAGGACCAGTTATGGGAGGGGGAATACTGTAGATTTGTGTAAGATTGTAAGCTGTTGTTCTGCACCGCATGCTAGCCCATACCGTACACCCATACACTGATTCCTGCTCTTTTAGGGTAATAACGGGTAAGGTGTGGCAGCTTAGTTGTGCCCCCCAGTAGGTAAATTACTTCACTTTCTACCTTCATCCATCAGGAGGCGCCGTGCTGTGCAGCACAAGGGTTCAGCCTTTGGGCTGGGTGGATGTAAATTTATTGTATGTTCCCAGCATTTGTGGTTGTGTTTATTTGCCACATCTAAGTAAAATTCTGTTGTGGCAAAAGCTGGTGTTGGGGTTGCTTTCCTCGTTCGTGACTTCACTGTATCCTGGGGAGTCCACCCCGGTACACGGCTTACAACTGCAGGGTCTGGGGAGACCAGATATAGTGAACGCAGGGTCCGGGGAGAGCGGATATAGTGAATGCAGGGGCCGGGGAGACCAGATATAGTGAATGCAGGGTCCGGGGAGACCAGATATAGTGAATGCAGGGGCCGGGGAGACCAGATATAGTGAATGCGGGGTCCGGGGAGACCAGATATAGTGAATGCAGGGGTCCCGGGGAGACGGATATATGAATGCGGGGTCTGGGGAGACCAGAATATGAATGCAGGGTCCAGGGGAGACCAGATATAGTGAATGCAGAGTCCGGGGAGACCAGATATAGTGAATGCAGGGTCCGGGGAGACCAGATATAGTGAATGCAGGGTCCGGGGAGACCAGATATAGTGAATGCAGAGTCCGGGGAGACCAGATATATTGAATGCAGGGTCCGGGGAGACCAGATATAGTGAATGCAGGGTCCGGGGAGACCAGATATATAGTGAATGCAGGTCCGGGGAGACCAGATATAGTGAATGCAGGGTCCGGGGAGACCAGATATATTGAATGCAGGGTTCTGGATTTAGTAACACTTTAATGCCCAACTGAACAATCAGCCCAATACATTTCAAGCGCATCAAAACAGCCTGTTTAGTTTTAAAACAACCACAGCATGAGCAGAAAAGCCTGTCCCCTGCCAGCATGCTGCAGAAAAAGACCTTTACCCTCTGTGTGGAAGCAGTGGCCTCTCTGCAGAGGTCCGACACCCCCTCTGCTGACCTAGATTTATAATTCTTCAATCTGCAAACCTCATGCCCCCTGCTGATTGGAGAATTCTAGCTTTGACTCCGCAAGGGGGCGCATCAGACCTCTGCAGAGAGACTGCGGCTTCCACACAGTGAGCAAAGGTCAGTGTGCTGACATGGGACAGGCTTTTTCTACTCAGCTGTAGCTGCTTCCTAAAGAATACAAACTGTACATATGTCATCACTTTGGCTTTGGTTTTGATGCACTTGGATTCTGTTTAGCTCATGTATAAGTAAACTCTCACCTTGTGAACCAACCCGTACAGTTTAAAATATAAAAAAGAAAGGCAAAGCATTTGTGCATAGATATGAAAAACATTATAAATCCTTTTCCCCCCCCTTTTTTTATGATGACATTCTGTTCCCAGCTGCATAAAGAGCACAGAGAGCTGGGGGAGGAGAAACAGTTTTGGTCTTCCCAGCGAATGCCTGTGCGGGACGGAGGATGTCAGCACAAGTCTGATCATTGGAAGAGTGAAGACTGTGTTCCCAGCACAGCTAGATAACACTGACCATGCTGTGCTCTGCTGCCTAGTGTGGTCAGTTTTTTTGGTCCGCAATAGGAAAGCAGAGGGGCTGGCAGGAACACCAGGGATTTCAGAAAACTTTTACAAGTACATGGTGCAGCAGGCAAGTAACTTTTTTTGGTCAGCTACTTGATGGACACTAGTCTTCCTCTTAAGGTCTGAGGAGAGTCTTTGCTAGACGTGCAGTTTGTTTAACTCCTTCACGCCGGCGCCTCCCGGCCCTTTAAGAGTTTCAGAAGCCGGGAGGTGGGGTTTAGGGTCATGTGACCGCTGTGATGACGTGTCACGGCGGTCACATGATCAGGAAAGGTCCCGATCGAAAGAGGAGATCGGGACCTTTTCCCGACGTGTGCCGGGAGTGCGCAGGTCGTGCGCTCTCGGCACACATGTCCTTTTTTAATAGACCGCTAATGTGCGGCCGCTCGGCGTCTAGCCCAGACGCCGGGAGGGGCGCACATTTGCGTTCGGCCGGCGTGAAGAGGTTAATTCCGAATCAAGATTCAGAGAAATTCGGAAAGTCGGATATATCTGAATCTCCAAATTATAATAATAACAAATGTAAAAGTCCGGACACTTTCACCCCCTTCCTGCCCAGGCCAATTTTCAGCTTTCAGCACTGTCACACTTTGAATGACAATTGCGCGGGTCATGCAACACTGTACCCATATGAATTTTTAAGCATTTTTTTTGAGACAGATAATCTTTCTTCATAAATCTTGGGCAAAATTTATTCCCATATCTTTTTAGTAAAAAAAAAAAAAAAAATAACCCAAATTAGTTTATAACCAAAAAATATAATTTTTCTAAATTTGTTTTCACATTTTATTTTTATTTTTTATATTATTATTTATGTTTTTTTTTTTTCTACATACTGTCACCCTAGCAATACAGTGTCACCATAGTGACACTGTACTACTTGTGGGGGGTGATGAAGATTTTTTTTTTACACTGATTGCTTTTACACCCATAAAGGCTGTAACAACAATCGTTTCTCCTTCGTTCTGGCTACATTCTTGCAGCCATTGAGAAAATACTGTGAGAGCTGTGATTGGTCACAGCTTGTCACATGGTACAAGGCTGTTGTGAATAGCCCTGTACCATGTGACCTCTGTGATCATTCACAGATTTCACAGGTAGTAAGCAATGATGTCACAAGTGGCATCTTGCTTTCTACTCTTCATGTGATCACTGATTGGCCAAGATTCGCACAGAGGTCCCGTACAGCGATCGGTGTTCCGCTGTGTCCGGTGGTACCACCCTAAGCCCGGGTTCACATATATGCAGTGCGGTATATCACATGTGATTCACACAGGAACCGCACCGAATTCCTCTGCAAATCACCTGCGATTTGAGTGCGGTGCGATTGGCGCCAATACTTTTGTATGGCTCTAATCGCACCGCACCTGCACCAAAAACATGCAGGACCCTTTTTTGGGTCCGCACTAGAATCGGATCGCATGGGTATTCACATATATGCGGTGCGGTTTATCGCATGTGATTCGCACAGGAACCACTCCTTCCTGTGCAAATCACGTGCGATTTGTGTGCGGTGCAATTGGCGCCATACATTTTGTATGGCTCTAATCGCACCGCACCCGCACCAAAAACATGCAGGACCCTTTTTCTGGGTCTGCACTAGAATCGGATCGCATGGGTATTCACATAAATGCGGTGCGGTACATAACATGTGATTCGCACAGGAACCACGCCGCATTCCTCTGCAAATCACATGCGATTTGTGTGCGGTGTGATTGGTGCCAATACTTTTGTATGGCTCTAATTGCACCGCATCCGCACCCGCACCAAAAACATGCAGGACCCTTTTTTGGGTCCGCACTAGAATCGGATCGCATGGGTATTCGCATAAATGCGGTGCGGTACATAACATGTGATTCGCACAGGAACCACGCCGCATTCCTCTGCAAATCACATGCGATTTGTGTGCGGTGCGATTAGCGCCATACATTTTGTATGGCTCTAATCGCACCGCACCCGCACCAAAAACATGCAGGACCCTTTTTCTGGGTCTGCACTAGAATCGGATCGCATGGGTATTCACATATATGCGGTGCAGTACATCACATGTGATTCGCACAGGAACCACGCCGCATTCCTGTGCAAATCACATGCGATTTGTGTGCGGTGTGATTGGTGCC